GAATCGAAATCATATAAAAACGCAGCCGTTGTGTAAGATATTATTTGCTACAAATTGGAGTATGATTTGGTTGTCATATGAAAACAGTAGAACGACATATACTCTATAGGAAGTGTCATCAAATTTCAATTGAAATTGTGCCAATTTTATATTAGAAAATCGGGTGGTTGTTAGTGATTTTTGGCACGCCTAATTCAAGTAGAAATTGTGACTAGCATAAATTGAATTCAAAAGATATTTCTCGGTATTCTAAAGTAGATATTTCAGTTAGTAGACATTTTGTAGTTGTCTACATAGCGTAGGTCAAGTTTTTGGACCAAAGAAAATGATCAGGCACTTTAAAACAAAAAATTTGAATGAAACATTGTTGAATTGATTTGCCATATGTAAAATAGTCCAAAACTACATCGAAATACTTTCTATTTGTATATAATGGTGCTAATTTTTTACCTTTTCCTGAACTTTTATGGAATTCTTATATATACTTACCAAATGTAAAGTGAAAAATAAATATGAGTGATTGTCAAATGTGCAGACAAGTATTTTTAGATTTATCAGAAGGAATTCCTGAGTCGTGTACATCTACTTACCCTGTTTCACCTTTCTTCAAATAATGACTTTCAAGTGTCGTCAAAAGTATACAAAAGAATAATTTTCAAAATTTTAAAATTGTTACATTTCTTCAAAGTAATATCCTTTGAATTATTCTTTGTATTCAATATGAACTATTTGACAATTGATTTTCTTTTGCGATTGTATGATCTACACATGTTAGTTCCTAAATATGTTTCAAAAAATGCATGTATTATGTCAAATAAAAAATAATAATTTGTGAAAAAAATTTAATAATGGTTTCAACCAGTTTTTGAAAAAGAATGTATAATATGTCCCCAGTATCAATAATTGATTGTAACCGTGTTTTGCTCTGTACTCCTGACATTTCAGTATACTCATATTTCAGCATTGTACTAGTCATATAACTTATATTTATATTATATTTTATATTACGGAAGTATTGTATTTTCCCTACATGGATTCTCATGTCGATATGAATAAACTGATGCAAAACTTATTTTTCAAGATTTCAATTTTTTTACGCATAGGTTTTAGTTTTATTAATTTGATCCGAAAACACTCGGAAATACATTTTTACCTTATTTGGAGTACGATAACCCGTGTGCAGACTTGCATCGAATCATGTTCATACAAGTTGCGTGAAAGTAGCGACGCATACTCGCGGTATTTCTCATTTTTTCTTAGTTATTCCCGTGATTAACTGGAATTGTTGATAGCTGGTCTCTTCGACGTGGGTGCTTTGTTCACTCACTCAATTGACCACCATGTTGGTCGGTGGCTCAAGCCGCAGGCTGAACGATCGATGTTCACTTGCTATCGTCCAACCTGTGTTAGGAATCACACGTTAAAAGGTAAAACCTCGTTGGTCCTTAGCTCTCACAAGTTTCGACTTCTGAGGGTTGTCGTTCGTATAGGTGCGACAGCTGGTTAACGGAAAAACATATTTTAAACAAATTTAGAAAATGGCATTGGAATTAAGAATCAATGAAAGAAGAATTTTTCTGGTAAATTAACCAAATAACAAGCGCAAAGTTTTCCGTCTGACCGTTAAGTTCTCGCATTACTTTTTTCAACATTCACAAAGTTCAATTGTCAAGCCAAAGTCTTGTCATTCGAGAGAGCATGATATTTTGGGAAAAAGTAAGAATTCCTACCAGAGCTGTACCTAGTTGTGAAAAAAACCTCGTGGTTATCCAAGAAATAAGAAAGGACAAGACAGGGATAATTAAATGAAGAGAAAATAGACATGAGCAAATGTGTTTTGGGAGTTTATCGTGTCTACTATTTAAGATTTTACACACCCACAAACACACCGTAAGTTCTGTTAAATGCCTGCCGAAAACCACCTACTTCTCCGGCTAATACCATGCTGGATATTGAATTATTAGCATGGTCCTGCTACTGGATGAACGAGGCAGGCAGGCATTTTTCAGAACATACAGTGTAGGTAGTTGGGAGAGTGAATACTTTTTAGAAATTTTATTTGGAAATATTTATTTTCCAGTGAAATCAAATTGTTAATGATCGAAAAAGTATATAAAAAGACATAAGCTTTCACAACCAGAGTCAAGATTAGAGAAAACAACTCTAGAAAGGTGTTACAAACACCTCAAACTCAAAAACTGGCAAAAGTATAACTAGATCATGGAAATATTGATTATTTGATATGAAAAACACAAGGTTGGTCGATAGCTAGTTGATTAGTAAGTTTCTCTGCTTTGTTGGGTGCAATTTTGAGCCCTGTATGATTTCGAATATTGAAAAAAAATCGGTCTAACTATGTGATTTATATTGCGTGCAAGTGTGTCATGAAAGTTGCCCAGAGTTCAATATATCTCATGTTTTGTAATAAAAATGTACAATGTCATACTGAAATAATCATTTCAGATTTGTCAATAATGGAATTACTATAATTGAAGAAAATCGCATTGGTAATGATTTAGTATTTTGCATATTTTGTAAAAAGGTACATTATAAATTGAATCAATACAAACATATAAAATATATCATGGTAAAATGAATGTATATAAACTACACTGTATAATAATACCAACAATTGGAACAGTTACAGACAACAAAATTACCTATCTTTGGATGCCTTATGTCTAATGTTAATAAATAGATAACTATCAATTATTGGGCTTTTCAAGTTATGTTCAAGTCTCGTGTTCTCCTGCTAACTGGTAATGATGCCTCCTCAACTTGGCAAGGCGATATCGTTCTTGGTCCAATTCCTTCTCTAATTCTAAAACCTTCACTTGTGACTCCATTTCAAATCGTTTTGCTTGATGGAGTGTCAAATTTGAAACATCAAGCTCTTCTGAAATTAAAAATATTATTTTACTTGAATCAAAAATTACAATCAATAGTCAATGGGGATTGTTCCTCCAACATATCATTTCAACCTTTATCTTTGAAAAAATATTCAAATACTTAAAATACAGGAATGAAATAAAGGGATTCGTTTATATTTCTCCATTTGGCAACATAGGTTATAGCTAATAAAGGACAACAAATCTGTTACCATCAGTGGCGTGATGTTCTGTTTACTTATGTTCCGAGTTCCAAAACATTCTGTGACATATGACATTTTGTGCACCTAACTTGACCTTTCATGGGTATCTTCAATCTTGGGAACAAAAAAAAGGGGGCCAAATTTGGTGAATACGGTTGCTGAGACATAAATATGATGTTGGGCAGGTGTGAGCAGGAGCATAAACGCGATGCAAAATCCATGAATTGTTTTTCCACTATTTTCTTCGTATTGCTACTCGCAAGCAGCGAATAACATCAAGATAATACTCCTTATTGACCGTATGACCATGTGACAAGAACTCCTGATGCACTACGCCACGGTAATCTAAGAAAACAGTTGTCAAAACCTTGGCGTGCTTTTTTTGGTCTTGGCTCTACTGGGCTCTATCATTGGCTTGAGTTCGGTTCAGAAGATGCTCGAAATGGTTGGCTTGAACTTCTTGACATATGAACAGCCTATTCGATATTTCACGCCAAACATTTTCGAACACAGTAACGTCGATATATCTACAAATATTTATTTCAGGGTCAGTTTCATACACTTTTTGCTTCAAATAGCCCCATAAAAAAGTCCAAAGGTATCAAATCTGGCGAGCTGGCCAATCCAACGAGCGGGAAAAGTAGTATCCAAATAGTTTTTTACTTGTCTAGAGTAATATGGTGGTGATCCATCTTGTTGGAATACAATATCCATATCGAATTCATTAGGATTCGCTTCGACGATTTCAGTGATGAGAGATCAACAATAGTTTCCAGCATATTCAAATACAGTTCCCCTGTTAAATTTTGATAAAAATAGAGGCCCTACAATATGGTTTCCCAATATTCCTGCCCGAACGTTATTTTTTTCTGGATATTGGGAACGTGAGGGTTGGTGTCACTCCAATAACGGCAATTTCCGTTTAAAAAAATGTACATTCGTCACTAAAACAAATATTGTGGAGATAGGTAGGATGCCTTGCAATGGTTTTCGTCATGATTTTGCAGAATACTATTCTTCGATTGTTGTTGTTGGAATTGCCATATGGCAAATAAAAAGGAATATTTCTAGAAATATCGATATTAATGTGTTTGTCTTCAGGAAATATCAACTTTATATTCTAGGGTTGTGAAGTATTCGTCAGGAGCTTCAAAATGATGTGTTACAAGACCCCTTCACTTCAAAATGATGTGTTACAAGACCCCTTCACTTCAAAATAAAGTATCCATGCATTAATTTTATTATCCCAAATTTCAATTTTTAGAGTTGACCCGTTCAAAAAATAAAAGGAGGGACATTAAAGAAATGCACTGTATATCTATACACCATTGTAGGTAATAACAAAGGGTCCTCAACTGACTATCTGAATTTTATTTATCTGTGACAACGTGGGTATGTTAATCTAAAAACCGGCGAGTAGACCAGGTCAATTTGATCATTTACTAGGTTACATCCGCAATGTTTATACTTATGAATTTCCAAGGAATCCAAATAATTGAGTTTCCACTATGCAAGCAGGGGTTGGAATAAAGTAATTAAGGACCATCTGTTATCACCGACAGAAGTTGTATAGAAGTTGTATGAACGTTAATTATTTCAGTTTATTGTAGATGAAACTGCAGTAACGATAGTTACAAATACAAGACGGATGATATCATGATGAGGCTGACTTCAATGCACAATAAAAACATGAAAAAAAATTACAAGAACGTGCGCTAAAAAGATTGAAGGAAATAAAATACAAACTGGTTAGAATTGAACCTAGGCTCTAATTATAAATTCCAAGAACCTCAAAGAACAGGTTACCATATACAAAAGATTAGCATTGTTTTAATTCAGAGGAAACAGAATTTATGGACAGTGAACTCAAAATACAATTACAAATACATTCATCAAAGTCAATACTCACAGTAAAAATTTAGCTGCAACCGCAACAGCTTTGGCTGCTGAAATGAAACCATCAGTCCATTGATGATTTCTTTTGTAGAAGTCTTTTGCACTAGCTGTACCCTTCAATTGAAAAAAAAAGATCATTTAATTTACTGGTTGCATCAAAACTATTTTTAACTTATTCCAAAAGATCCTCTCAAAAGGTTAGATAAATAAAATACTGTCAAGAGTTAAAAAGTAGCTATCGTATAAGAAGTCTACTTACCCTGCCTTGACCAACAATTTCTGCTTGTAGAAACCTCGACTTTTTTACTAACAATCTTATAGCGTGCATAAGTGATGTACAGGAATCCAAAATTTTTTCGTTTACCTCTAATTTTATACCAGAATCTGCAGCTCGAGAATTCGTTAACATATCCTACAAAATTTTTTGATTTCAATATGTTCCGCAACATTCGCAAAAAACTTTTATACCTGTATACGATTGGCAGCCTCTTCAATTGCTTTATCCATTGCCAACATTTCATTCTCCAACATGTCTGCCAAGTTCTCGGCATTTTCTCCTAGAAGGGAAGCATTGATGCTATCTGCAAGTGATGCTACATCGTTTAGCTTATCTATGGCTTCCTTCACGAATAATTCATTATTTGTATTTTCCTTGATACAGTGTAGAAGTTTCATTCCACTTATTCCCAACAATTTACAAGTCTCGGCCATTTCTGAAATGTGAAATAAACTAAATCAATGCCAAAATGAGTAGAAACAGATAATCAGTACGAATCATTGATGATAATATACTGAATCTATTTTGGAGAAATAGCAGTGTCGAATATATTGGACCTACTCATTCCTCACCATCAAGCAGCACTACTCACGGTTCTGTGATGGAAGTTACAAGCTAGGTTTCTGTTACAAGTCATGACAAATCTGCTCAGTGACGAAGAGATCACGCGATATCCATCATCAATATTCTCTCAGTGTCAACATTGCCTCATGGCCATTAATCTCTACTGGGTAGAAAGTTTACCCTGGTATAGGAGGTAGATTTGAATAGTCAAATATAATATGGTAAGATGCCTTTTCTGCCTTCAAACCTTAGGTAGATGCCATCATTTCTTAATCATAGAATACGAGGGGAGTAGTATTTAGTTAACACTGACGAGGAGCATTGCAAAAATCCTAAATTCTACAAGATATGACAATCGAACCAAAACTCTCCCTCTTTTTACAACGGTTTCTCTTGAAACACTTCCATGTTTGAACCATAGTGTTTTCAAAGCACCTAAGTAACAGTTTAACTTTCAAAATGACAAGATACATAATTTTTCTAGTTTCACTTCGGAACAAATTCAAGACCAACTATAATAACAGTTTCTTGAAATTATAGCAAATTATGGAAAGTTCTACTCAGAAATCTGTAGACTTCTAGTTGAAATTCAAGTTTGTAACAATATTCTTAATTCAGTTATATGTTTGATCACAATTAGTGAATAATTTAGAATGAATAAAAATTTCTAATAGGTTGTAAATATTTTATACAGTGTGACTCACGGTCGATGGTAGGTTAGACGTTTCTGGAAAACGCAAAGCATGATTTTTCTGAAAATTTCACCTCTCACATTTCCTTACCTGTTCTATCGATCTAAAATATTTTCAGCATTGCGGCGTTGCCACTTC